CACGTCAAATCAATTCCATCTTTTAAGTTGTCGAACAGGAACCATGAAAAATATAACGCCCCCTCTCTCATGACTTAGCAAAACACCTAGAATAGGAATAGATTTTATTTGACTAAAAATAATAGCTTTTGCAAGCTGGTTCTTTGAATTTCTATTCTAATTCATTTTTGGGAATAGAATAGGTAATATTTCTCAAAAATTATGTATCTTTCGAAATAAAACATATAGATTCATTTTCATATTATTAAGCATAATAGTCATTATGAAATAAAAGAACTTGCTTCTTCTATACTTTAAATACTACCAAGTTCACTTTTTCTCTAGTAAACCGGTAATCTTGGTTGGTTCTCAATGAATCCAAGAGATAACAATTTAATTTTGAGAATAGTAGATCAGTTAATCTGGAGTTTAGTAACAATTGTTGATACTACTCACATAATGTTTCGTAAGCTATTTTCAGTCACTTAAATACCATAGTATTTGGGACCAGACTTAGGCATCTTTTGCGCACAACATTACTTAGACAGCATGTACAAAGTAGTCTGTCAGAGTTAAGTCTTATTAAAATGAACTAGTCAATCTCAGGCCTTTAAAATATTAATGCCTATTTTGCCATTGCAAGTAATTCACATATATTTTGTAAATTTTTGAATTATAACTTGTGTTATAATTCAGAAGAAAGTATATAGAAACCTGTTTTACTAAAATTCGTTTTAAAATTATCAAATTCAGTTAGTAATTAGACAAAATCGGCGCTTGCAATGATAAATCGTATTGCAAGAATGAATTTATTGTAAACAAATCTCAACATTACCAACAATGATAAGTGCAATAAACTTTGCATAGAATGACAGTAAATGATTTAGTTTAAATAATGAATCCGGCGAAATTTATATATATGTATATATATATATATATATATATATATAAGTAAATAGTTTAAAGTTCATATTTAAAAACATGATTAAGCTAATTGAATTACATTATTAGTTGCAGTAAAACATTTTTATGGCAAAAATAATATTATGACAACTTACTGTACTCCCGAGGAAGTTCCCTCTACTCATACCGAATTTGAATAATTTGATTTCACTAAATCCAATTGCCACCGAAGTTTAGGTCGACAAGAATTAATGGCATGTGGTATATTTAAACAATATCCAGGTAAAATGTGTATGCAAAAAGTTGAAATTTTCGAATATATAATTTTTCATAAATAGTTAGCCCTATTTACGTATAGAAAAACCATCTATCATGAATATAGATGAAAACTAATAATGCTTTTGCAGTTTACGGAGGACGATTTTATGAATTCATTATTACGGAAGCTCTGATTGGATTTTCATTTGAATTTATTAATTTTTCATTAAGTAGTACATGTAATTTTCCTGAGGCATTTGAAGCTTTATGCTTCTTTTTAGATATAATTTGGCATGTTAAATTATTGTTAAATCTCTAATGGATTTCATGATAGAAAATGGAAGACTTTATTGACATTTATTATGTCTTTGTGATTAGTTACGTTACTTTGCGGTCTTTTCCTCAACTACTATCCTGTGATTTATCCAGTTTTCTAAAGAAGTGCTTCAAACGCTAAAGATAGTATGTTTGCATTTGCTTTATTATATAAGGTAATCCTTCACAAAACATGTGACAGCATTGTACTCAATAATATTTATATCTGCAAGACTCAGACAATTCCCTATTGATAAGCTAGCGATGTGATATCTAGAATTGATTTTTCCAATTTCCATGACGATTGAGTGCCATCTGTCAAATAGAAAACCATCTAGCCATCGGATATATTACTAATTTTACAAATAAATTTTGCAAGTGCTCCAATGGGTACATGTTTGCATAATTACCTGAAATTAGTTCTTCATTTTCATTAAATCAAGGCCCATTTCGATAATCAATTCAATTTTTAAAAATTGAGCTCAGAATATAGTGGGAAATTAATAGCTTGGGCACATTTACTACTCGAACTCAAAATTATTTATGTATTTATTCAATTTTATATAAATATGGTATGATATTTCAGCTTCAATTTTACTAATTAGGTTAATGTGATGCAAAACCATAGAAAGGAAAACTCAATCCATTTATTTAACGAAAATCATTTAAAGGTGGTCCATATATCAATCATAGTCTATTGATCCAAAAACAAGCTTGCACAAAAATATCCTTATCTATATTGGTATAGTAAGTGATGTAAGCTATTTATATTACCGCAAATTAACTGAAAGTTGATTGGTTGGCCACATTATTAAAATGTTTAATTAAGCCAAGTGTAATCTGATTAAGCATTAATACTGACATGATTTAACTTAAGCGCATCAATTGCTTTAATTGCACTTACCAAGGCACTTTTAAGTGTTTTTTTTAAATTAGCCTGAAATGAAGGATAATGATTAGGAAACGCTGAAATAAAATTCAAGACTACGAAGCAATCACATCCTAGGTAAAGATACTTTCTTTAATACTTATGAATTTCAAAATATTTTAAGCGCAATGAATAGCATCAAAATTAAATGCGGATAAAAGAAAAGTTTGCGCACATTGAACCAAACAGTTCTTTAAATCTTTAAATTTTTTAGAAGAGATCAGAAGAAATAAATGTGACTTTGGAAACTACATGGTAAATGTAGATAATTTCGACATAACTATTTCAAATGAAACAGCAAACTAGAGCTCTCTCCTAAGCTACCTATTTTTCGTTCAGAGTAGAGGCTAAAAAGATTACATGGAAAATCGTTGCTGATATTGGCATAAATCTACCACGTTCAAGAGGAAATTCATGGAGTGAGCATAAAATATAAATTCACTTAACGCTTCGTATGAGCTAAAATGAGTTATTTTAATTCGGGAAAAAATGGCAACGATTCGTCAAAACAAGGCATAGTAAGTAGACTTATGGCGCGAAAATATCTAACAGATATTATGCTGTCAAATTTCGCCTAACAATTACTATTTGAGCGAGATAAATGGTTTGAGGTCTGTGTACGATGGAGATTAATGGTAATTCACAAAAATTTTCATTGGTTGTGGTTGATTATTGCCATATAATTATAATAAAAGAAAATGTCTTTTCTATGTTAGTAAAGTTAAATAGTAGGAGCCATTCAGTTGTCCGAGAAATTTTTGCTTTAAGCATTTTATTTATATTGAAACAGTCTGGGCAAAAAAATTCATGAGAAATTTGCATTATCCAAAGGCAATATTTCGAACAGAAAAGGAAAACTGGTACTTCCAATGTATTTTAAACTAATCAAATCAAATTTAGGTTTTTTGACTTATATAACCTATACCAAGTAAATGATACTACTTTTACTCTAAATAAACGTAACATAAACTGATCTGAACTAATAAGAGTATGTAAAAAACTCAGCATGTCTTGATATGTGCCTTCAAAATCCATATTAGGATTGTTATTTCAAAAACCCTAATATTTGCATTAACAGCTATCCTAAAATCATTGGGGTAGTTAGTCAATAGGAAAAAAAGTTTTTATATATATAGGCAAATTTAGCAGTTAAATCACAACAGATAGAAAAATACTAACTAATAAACCAGTTTAATGAAGAATCTGTTTTAAAAATGCTTCACGTGTATTTAATTGTTCTAAGTGATGTAATCAAAATATCTAATCAAATAAATGTTATTTCATCTAATGATGTACAATATATTATAAAATAAGGTTTTATTAAAATATGCTAGGCATTTGCGTGTAAAAATGCCAAATTTTCAAATTCATTACAATTTTAAATAATAATTGCGCTCCAAATGATTTAAGTATTTAGGCTTGTAGTTTAAACCATCTAAATTTCTCATTGCTTCTGACCTCGAATGAAGGTTGGGAGCTGCTTCTAAATCAATGTGAAATCGGGAAATGTTTAAGTTGGACAAAGATTCAAGTCGTCCAAGGGAGACTTTGCCTATCCTTTCAGGGCTTAACTTTCCAACTGATGATGTTGAACCACATTCACTAAGATGGATCTATACGCGTTGGGCAAAGTATGAAAATTAGTTATTATATTTACTCGATTATTACAATATTAACTTCACTTCGCCCTCCCACTTTTTTTCGCGCATAATATTTAAAGAACGTATTAACGTGCCTTATTTATCTGATATATTTTATGTTTTACGTACAACAGGATGCTACTAAGATCTGCTGCACTCATAAGTTTAATATCCGTCAGCGCAAATACCCCGAGAACTTTTGAATACGTGCCATCATTACTATATGTTACATTTGCCGTGGACATTATGGTTGCGTGTTTGCTGACTGTTGAAATGATTACAAAAATGTGTATTCAAGGTTTGGTAGCTCCATCAACAAATAACGTAAGTTCTTTCGTTGTTCTTTATTTTGAGTTAAGAAATTTACTCGTAGTATCCTAAATTTTCATGATAAATATTTGTTTATTTTTACGATTTCTGATGAATAATTTGCTTGATTCAGGATCTAAATCAGCTTATCAAAAAACAAATTGCAGCTAAGGTAAGAATTCCAGCTAGATAGTGATCGATGGTAGAATCATCATGAATTTGCACCGATACGTTAATGTCAGTTTAGAAAACGATTCTTATTACTTTGGTTTCTAAATGTCAATTTTTTGCTTTGCACAACTCCCTCCTTAGTTATCTTTCACTCTTTGGTATCTCGCTAACTTATATAGATCTGCATGTCTGGCTTTGCTCAATTCTTTTATTTTTATTCTCCAACTTAAATTAATTGCATTCTGAAACGAACTATTATCGGTTAATGACACTCGCGAATAATCTAAATTGAAAGGTCATGATGTTATCTTGAAAGTGGCTGCTGCATGTGACAGCAGAGAATTTTCACCTAGTTATTTTTTATTAAATTCTTTTGCTTTGGAATTTTGCACTGTTCTTATGACGCATGCTCTTAAAGAGGTTATGACTCCTTGAGTTTCCTTTCGGATCATTTATTGCGAACTTCATTCTAACCCCTATTTAAATCTATTTAGTCAATGGGGGTAAACGTGGATTCCTCGTCTCGTCGTAACCGGGCATACTTTCAACAATCCTGGAATTGTTTTGATACCTTTATGGTCATCTGTCTATGGGCTTCAGTTGCACTACAGTGCTTTGAAATTCGTGCCGAGTGGAGTGGACTAGACGAGGAACAAAAATTCTTTAAAACTGCTGGATGGCTTAGTATTCTTCGTTGTCCACGTCCTTTCATTCTCATCCGGGTTTTTCGAGCTGTTCTCAAATTACAACTACCACCTGCTCGAGTTAATGCAATTTTTCAGTAAGTGACATTGGGCAGTCAGTAACAAGGTCTTTGGAATTTCTCAATTTCAACTTCTCTTTATTACTGTTATTTCGTAAATCTAGTAATTGGCATTAATTTTTGATCTAATAATCAAGGGCAACCCAGCAAGATCTTAAGTTGTGCTAATGCCAATGGTAATTCAAGTTGAAATCTGTGCAATTTCATTTGAAATCTAAAGCGCTTGATGGCCAAAAAGAGTAGGACCATGTGTGTACGAGATAACTAGGAATGTGAAAGGAAGAAAGGGAAGAAGGAATGGAAACTTGAAATGGAATGCAAAGTCAATAGTGATGAGCTAGTTGAACCCGAATTAAATGACCATAGAAATACAGTAAGGGTATTGAAAAAATTCACTTTTATTGGTTAATATCCGACAATTAAATATCCTCGCCTGATAAGATTTACTTGAAGCTATTACAATTACCAACAGGGAGCGGATAGTTTTTCTAATTCATTGTTCCGCCTGTTTATTGTACTCAAATAAGTGCAGAGAACGAATGATCTGATTAATATGAGTTGATTAAATCCAAATCCGTCTTGCTTCTCATATTTGACAAAATTATTGTCCAGAATTATTATATACTAACCATTTATCTGACTAAATTAGTTTTAAAAACTGAAGCGACTTCGTCCGGTTAAAATTCAGGTTTGGGATACCTGTGTACTTTAAAAAATTGACCTGCATGTAACTGTTTGGCAATTTTAATTCCAACTCCAGGAGTCGGATGGGAAAAAATGTTTCGCATGAAATGGTTAGGTAAATTTTGTTAAATATTTTATTTGTTTGAAACGGTTTTTTGGTCAATCCGGTTAAACTAACTGTGTAAAAAACTACATTTTCTTTTCCTCTATAGTTCATTGTTGGTTCAAGTGTTTCTTAAGTTTGAGATTATAATGATCATCGTATCCATACAAAAGATTCATATTTAAACCCATATTGTTTTCGATGAGATTGCAACACATAGAGCTTAGATAGAAGAGCGCTTTCCATTGTTATTCAAAACAGAGAAAAGAAAAATTTTCGAATTTCAAGAATGGATATCAATTCTCAGGGAATACTGAAGTAATTTGGGAGAAATCGGTTAAATTGCCAACTCGTCGTATCATAAGTCCCTCAGTATTTGGATTCTAACCACATGGAGTGCTCAACTTTCTCATACAATATTCATTCCGGGCTTGATTTCTAATTAGCGTTTTCGGAACTTATTAGTAGTTTTTGCAATTGAGTGACTAGCTATGCCATGCCAATTAATCTGTATCTCATTTCAGTAGACGATACCGGTAAAGATAGTTTTACCATGTTGCCATTTTCATTTAAATTTACATCTCCAAAGCCCATCATAAACGTGCCTTTAGAAGTGCTTAATGTCTCATTTTTTTCTTAGGCGATCAACTCACCAAATCTACAATGTCAGTGTATTTTTGCTCTTCTTTATGTCACTCTACGGACTTCTTGGAGTTCAATTTTTTGGCGACGAACTCAATTACCACTGTGCGGATAAATCGGCGAATGAGAGGTGTCTTTATTGTTTTTCACCATTTAATTAAAAATAAACCCTGATGACTTGGTAATTGCAAGGCTCTTATTTCCCACATTTTCAGCAATTTATTGAAGAGTAATCTGGCTATTCCCGACGCATACTGCGATCCTTACGCACCAGAATCGGATAATCAGTGTCCAAAGAACATGAAATGTGTACGAACAGTGGCTCGTATTGCAGACGAAGGAAGCTATGCTAGCTTCGAAGCCTTTCGTATGTTTGCTATGTGATAAATGCTCGAAAAAAGCTAACAAAGAATTCTTTTTGATCATTTTTTTGTGTAAGGTTTATTTTTTCTTGTCTAGTGTACTTCATTGAAGATAGCGTTAAGGCATACGTAGTATAAGGGACATTAATGCTCAAGTTCTAATTAAAATTCCTCTTTGGAAAATCTTGCAGTATGGTAATGAAAACAAAGAGTAGATCCTTGGGAGATTCTTCCCTAATAAGGTGAAATATAAGCTGGCAGGATAATGAAAATCTTATCCAAAATAATGTTGGAGCATAATCAACCAGACTTCGGCTTAAGAGTTGAAAAAAGAAGTGATTTTATTTTCTTTTTGCTGACTTCTCTTCAGTGCTTATCTAGTTACGATTTGCCCGGATCAGCGTAAGATTGTTACGATTAACGCTCCTCAGTCAGCAATATTTTAATTATTACAAAATGACGTTAGAAGACATTCAATGTCTATGTAAATGTCTGACAAATCACAGATAACGAGAGTAGTATTCAGTGGTGTTGTGACCACGCATCTTGATCAATTCTGATCAATAAAAGAGGTGGTAGAATGTGGGTTTCTCTTAAGAGAAGCACCAAGACATCTTTCCTCATTCCCAGGCCAAGTAGACGGAACGATTTTCCAAGTGGGCTTGGAAGGTTTTCCTTCAAAATACTTGCGGAAGTAACGTTGCTTACTCAACACTCTTTCGCGTTTCAGATGTCAGCATGTTCACTGTATACCAGGCATCATCTCAAGAAGGCTGGGTCTTCATAATGTACCGTGCAATGGATTGTTTAGCTCCATGGAAGGGTGTCTTTTACTTTCTAACCATGATTTTCATGTTAGCTTGGCTTGTCAAGGTAAGAAAGCTCTCCTTCATTATTATATTTCCTCATTCAAATTATATTTTTGACTTAATGCGAGAGCTTTTTCACCCTTAAGAACGTGTTCATTGCCGTTCTGACTGAAACATTCGCTGAAATTCGTGTCCAATTTCAACAAATGTGGTCACCACGAATCGCTACCGATACTGACTTTTCGAAGGTACGCACAAAAGAAAAGCGTCTCCAATTTACTTTAATTTCGGTTTACAGATCTTGTCTAGGGTTTGTGTTTCATTCCTTGCAATTTAGATTTTCCAATTTGATGGAACCTCCTGGAAACTGGTACCTGTCCATGAACGAAAGTCACGTGGGTTAGCACCACGATTTGTAGAAGAAGTGAGCAGATTTCGTTGAATCTATTTTGTATTAATTTTCTATGAATCTACCGTTTTTTCCTCAACAGACCCTTCTTAAATCAACGGGATTTAATATTGGAATCATGCTATTGGTTCTTGCAAATGCAATCACCGCAGCCGGTCAGCATTTCAATCACCAACGCATTCGGCATGATGATTCTGATGGACAATTCCATTTGGACGGATTCTACTATGCTGAGGTAATGTCTAGATACGCCAAGAAAGTCACTAAGAGACATACTCTCAGAATTTCTAGATTGACTGTTTGAATTTCAGCTTGGTTTCACTATGGTCTTCAATCTCGAAGCCGCATTTAAGATATGGTGTCTGGGTTGGCGAGCCTACTGGTCAAGGTCTCTTTTCAAATTTGAACTTATTCTTTGTGTTGGCACTACACTTCACTGCATTCCGAAACTCTACCGAACCGAATTCACCTATCTTTCTGTAGGTTTTGTTTTATTTAACTTGCTTCTTACTCTACTGCTCATTGAATTCATTTTTGATGGTCTTTTTTGTAATATCCTGACCAGACCAGGCCTTAAATAAATAACTTAATATGTATTTTAATAATCTAATATTTTTTCTATTTTTTTATAGGTAATGAGGATAGTTCGTTTGATCAAGGCGTCGCCAATGCTCGAGGACTTTTGTTTCAAGGTAAATTTGATGAAAAATCGTGGATAATTGCACGAATTTTTAATAGGGGGTAATATTTTGTTCTTACTTGAAGATCTTTGGACCCGGAAAAAAGCTGGGCAGTTTGGTTCTTTTCACAATGTGTCTACTAATTATTACATCCACATTCAGTCTCCAGTTGTTCTGCTACTTGCAAATCTCCGACCCCACATTCGATAGATTTGAAACTTTCCCGAAGGTAAAATCATTTGATTTAGTTAAAGTAAATCAGTTATTTAATTCATTATGGATCTAAAAGAGCATAATAAGTAAACCAAATATATTTGCACACTTATTTCTTTGTTTAAATAACTTTAATTTATTTTAATTTGTCTAATTATGAAGCTTTAAATGTTTGGTTCTCGATATTGCTTAAATTTCAATCGTATCAATAAATTCAGATTTTGTGCTTTTTTGGCAAATAATTTCCGTCTTTTTAACCTTGGTAAGATCGTTACTTCACCGGGAAAATTGCCGCAGTACAGGTTGTAGTAGGGCAAGATAGCCAATCGAGGATACAGTCAAATTAATGGTATTTGGCCTTAACTTGTACATTTCTGTCAGTTAGGTCAAGGAGCGTCAGAAATTCGGGTCGCATTTTCTTCCTTCTAGCCATAAATTGCATGCTTCCAAGACTAGATATTTAGAAAAATGGCTGTTTATTTTGTCTTTACCGATATTTTGTTTAACATAAACTGTGTTGCGGAATTGAAAATTTGTAAAAGGTTTCGATGGACTCTCTTGTTTAAGATAGAGACTCTTAAAAAGCGGGAAAATTTTTATCATCTGTATAAATCCTCATTTTTTGGGGGTTTTATTAGTGTCTAACACTGCCAATTTTTTTAGGCCTATTTCGTAGTAGTGTAGATCATGTTGTGGTGAAAGTCAGTTACTCAGTTATTCAATTTCATGTTTTGAAACCAGATTTGTGAAGGATGTTTATTTATGATTATTATTAATATTATTTCAAATGGCAGGCTTTATGATATTTATCATTAGCCCTTAAACTTTGACTTCAGCTCCCCCCCCCCCCCCCAAGGGTGGGGGTACATATATAGCAGTTAATTAATAGCAATTCATTAGCTGTCTTCTTGCTTCCCAATGTCTCTGGCTTTCCGTCGTTGTCTTTAGGGCTGGACACCGAATCAGGTGGGTCTTCTCCATTTCCTCCTGTAGGTTACATAGGGGGCATGTGGGTTGAGTGTATACTCCCAATCTGTGAAGGTGTTTTGCCAAGCAATCGTGCCCGGTACGTAGTCTAAACTCAGCAAAGGCATCGATTCTTGGCCAGTCGGTTATGTCAGTGAGTGCCACTGTCCATTGTTTCTCCTTTGTTCGAGCTTTAAGTTCGGTGCACCTTGAGGTCACTTACCACGAAGGTAGTGAGAGGTGTTTGCCCATTAGATATACATTAGTAAATTTAATGATCGGAATCAGCCATGACACTTGATGTTTTCATATCGTCATTTCTTTTTTCCTCTTTTCAGGCCTTTATGTCTATGTTCCAAATCCTGACCCAAAAGGGCTGGGTGGCGGTCATGCACGACACAATGGATGTGGTTAGGAATGAGGCTGTGACAACCGGTGTCGCAATCTACTTTGTCTTCTATCATCTTTTCGTCACTCTGGTAATCCTTTTCTGCTTTTACGAATCCATATGATAACACCAGCATTCGTATCCCTTAAGCCAAAAGACCAATGTACCTTCAGCGACGTAGATGTCTAGGTGAATTGTTTAATTAGTGTCAAAAGGAGGGGTAGTGAAACGCGAATTTTTTCATAAAATGCCTTCTCCCAAATCAAATGTTGTTCGATCTTCAAAGGAGGCTACGGTACTTTAGCATTTGTAATTCGGTTCTAGAAGGAAAAAAGTGAAGTTCCAACATTTCAATATTTATTTATTTCAAATGGGAGGCGTTTTGATAGTTATCATTAGCCCTTAAGTTGACTTCGGGCTTCACAGGCGGAAGGAACATCAAAGTAACAGAAAGTCGAGGGGTGGGGAATAGAAGAGTGATTTACGGATGTAAAAGAGACTGCCACAAAGGCAGAGTAAAAGTAAGATGGGTACTGTGGAAGTGGTAGAATATGACATACAGTGGGGTCATGGTAGTTTGAAGTCGGAAGTCAACTGCCGAATAATAGACTTTTTTGCAGTATGAGTATACTTTGCTCAGGGTGCACCACGTGGAGGTAAGTCTATCGCACACCCCTTACTTCAATATGGGTTTAGTTATTAAAGAGTTGA